AGATGGTTCTTTGGGACACTAGTCCACCATCTTCTCGGTCTGCTGGCTTTCCAAATAAAGTCACTATTCCTTATCCCAACAACTCATATCTCGATTTATTGGCCTGCCATGCAGTGAGCGGTACAAGCTTGGACTTGGTTAACAAGGGCAACATTTTTTCATCCTGTCTCCTCTCATTGTGCCCATCACCAGGATGGCCACAAGGAGGCCCGCAAGCATGGCCATGCCCCAGGCACACCACACTTTCAGGCCTCAGTGCTTTTACACTTGCAGTCCCCTCTTGTCTAGACTGTCCTTTCCTGACTTCTCCTTCAAAGTCTCATCTCCCTGAGGATCCCTCCCCACCTCCACACCCACGTTACCCTTCTCTGCTCACTGCCCCCACTCTTCTCAGAATCTGTCTCTAGTGTAGCAATTGTCACACGAACACACATCTAATGAATTCAGTTCCATTAGATTGAAGGAAAGAAAAGCCCATCTTTTACAATTCTTGAGTGGCTACTCTGTGCCAGGCACTGTGCTGTGTGCTAAGGATATAGAGATGAATCAGAGACCTGCCCTCAAGGGCCTAATGATTTGCTTGATGCCTCCCAAACTAGACCGGGGGCTTCCAGGGGATGAGGACTCAGATCTGACTCCCTTGTGGGTCCCCCATCACCAAGCACAGACTGGCTCATAAGAAAGCTTTGTGGAGCGAATGCAAGATTGACCTTCTTGAGTTGTAGCTTCAGCTCGGACGAGCCACTTCACTTTCCAGAGCCTCACGTTCCTCATAGGCTAACTGGGAGCAGGGTTTCCAGGACTGGGGTGAGGATAAGAGGAAATGACAAGTGTGAAAGCTCTTTGGAGACCAAATATCCTTCAGTATACGTAAGAGATGGTGACTGACGTTTCCCTCTGTACCCTACCAGGGCCAGCCATACTCCTCAAGGACCGTGGAAGCAGCCCTCACTGGCATTGAATTCACATCACTCAGGTCTAAACCTTCCTGGATCCTGGAGAATTCTCTGCACAGAGCCATGGACTTCTCTCTCCAGCCTACGTGCTTTGGATTTATTTCTGACTTGGGAAATCCCCATCCTGCCTTCTGATTTCAGCCCAGGCCCTGGCTTGGGTAAAACACAAGGAGGAAGCAGGTGACATCTCAGGACAGATGGGGCCAGGTCAGGGAAGTGCCTTCCAGGGATTCACACTAGAGCTGGAGACATGGTTGGGATATTATGTTAGAGAAAATGAAAGCTGGGGGAGCGGGAGGGACCTGCCTCAGGTCTCCAGAAAGTCAGTAATAGAGCCAAGGTAAGTCCCAGGATGCCTGGCTCTCATCGCATCCACTTTATCTCAGGGCCACCAAAGCCCTACCCCATCAGAGTCCCCCTAACGTTCCTTCTCATCTCTCTCTCTACCCCGAGACACTTAGTTCTGCCCAAAAAGGTTCTCAGTGTTCTCCAAATACATCATCTGCTTTTAACTCCATGCCTTTGCATGCAATACGCCTTTTTGTGCATCTCCTTCTCCCACTTGTCTACTAGGTAAACCCCTACTCATCTCTCAAGGCCCATTCAAATAAATGTTTCCTTCCTTCAAACAAAGTCTAAACTCAGTTTATCCAGAATCCATTCATCTCTCTTTCCTGTGTGTTCTTATAACACTCTCTGTATACACTGATTTTAATATTTACTACCCTCTCCTATAATTGTCTACAACTGTCTTAGTCCTCACTAGACTGTATTCTCTTATAGGATAGGGATTATTTCTGCTTCATCTCTCTGTCCCCAGGGCCTATCAAGGTGTCTGGCACTCAATTGGCACTCAATAAATGTCGACCAAACAGTGGAACAGGTGAAGGAATATGAGGCAAATTTTTAACCTTTCTAAATTTTATATTTTTAAGGAATATGAGTCTTTATTTATTTATTTATTTGGCCATTCCATGCAGCTTGCAGGATCTTAGTTCCCCAACCAGAGATTGAAACCGTGCCCTCGGCAGTGAAAGCATGGAGTCCTACCACTAGACCACCAGGAAATTCCCTCAGAGTCTTAGTTTATTATCCTTGAAATGAAAGGAAAAAAACCTCAAGCACTTGGTAAGGATAAATGGTGGATAATGAATGTGGCACCATCACTGACTCAGTTGCCTGAGCCAAAAATAGGGTATCACCCCAAATTTCCACTTATTCCTCTTCCTTTTCCCCTTCCCCCGTCACCATGGCTTGTTTTTTTTTTTTAATTAATTAATTTTATTTTTGGCTGCGTTGGGTCTTCGTTGCTGTGCTCAGGCTTTTCTCTAGTTGTGGTGAGCGGGGGCTACTCTTTGTTGCGGTGTGTGGGCTTCTCATTGCGGTGGCTTCTCTTGTCACGGAGCACGGGCTCTAGGTGCGCGGGCTTCAGTAGTTGTGGCATGAGGCCTCAGTAGTTGTGGCTTGCGGGCTCTAGAGCGCAGGCTCAGTAGTGGTGGCGCACGGACTTAGTTGCTCTGCAGCATGTGGGATCTTCCCGGACCAGGGCTCAAACCCGTGTCCGCTGCATCGTCAGGCAGATCCTTAACCACTGAACCACCAGGGAAGCTCACCATGGCTTGTTGAACCAGGCTGAGGATCTAGGTAAGAAACTCTAGGTTACTGGGGGATTTCCATCAGGCCAGAGCTGTCAGGAAGGATGGAGGCAAAGGATGCCGGACGTAGGGATCCTGTAACTAAAAGAACCAGAGGGAGTGACTGATGGGGACACTGAAGGAGCAGATAAGGGATCGAGAAGGGAGAAGTCAAGGGTGGGTTCTGGGGACTTAGAAACCACTCAGTCTCTGCCCTCAAGGAGCTCATGGTCTGCTGAGGAAACAAATAGAAACAGTTTTATACAGAACTCCACTGTAGTGCAGCACTATCTCCTTCCTGATACCCCTTCTTTACTTGGCTTCCAGGATACCACCCAACTTACCTAGCTTTCTGCTTATCTTCTTGGCCCTCCTTCTCATTAGTTTGCTGCTTCTCCTAGTTTCCTCAAATTCTGAATTTTGAAGGAAATGATTTTCCATCTACACTCACTCCTTTGGTGGGCTTATCCACTCTCATGGCTTTAAACACCATCCATGTGCTGATGACTCTCAAACTGATATTTCCAGTCTTGATCTCTCCCTTGACCATCAGACTTATATGCCCTCCTGCTCCCTCAACAACCCTACTCTAATGGACATCTCAAAGTCAACACACTCAAAAATGAGCTCCAGGTATTTCCCCCCAAAACCAGCACCTCCCTTGTCTTTCCAACTGGTCTCTCTGCTTCTGCCACTGACCCCACTGAATTTTTCTTCATAAAACAGCCAGAGTAACTCTGTTAAAATCTAAATCAGATTGTGTGGATCCTCTGCTCATAACCCTTCACGGGATCCTCAACATGGGGTAAATGGGGTAAAACCAAAGTCCTTATCGTGATTTGCGAAGCTGTACTCTCTGGCTCCTATCTCTATCCTCATCTTCTTCCATTCTCCCCACAGAACACTATGCTCCAGCCATTCCAGGCCCTTTGCACTTGTTCTTTCCTGATGTTCTTCCCTAAATATCAGAATAGTGCCCCCTTTCTTTTTTCTTCAGATCTTTTACTCAAAGGTCACCTTCCCAGTAAGGTCTTCCTTGTCCCCCTAACTGAAAGGAAACGTCTCCCCTACCAACGTTTTATTCCCACTTCTCTGACTTATTTTTTCTCCTTAATATTTACTGCAGTCGTAAAACTATATATTTTATTTACCTATCTTCTTTATTTATCTCTCTTATTAAAATGGAAGCACCATGAGTCTCCTCATGATTTTTTTTTTGGTCTGTTTTGTTCACTGTTGTGTATCCATTACTTAGAATAGTGGCAGGCATATGTAAGGTACTCAGTAGATATTGCTTGAATGAATGAAAGAAAAAGGTGGACATTTCCAAGGGGCAAATTTTACTCTTTAATGAAAAACTTTATAACACCCAGAGCTGCTTGTCAACAATGACAGTCGATATGCACAGTACACTACCTCTTAAGTATGTTATCTCATCAAATCCTCACATCAGTCCAAGATGCGAAGAAGGCTGGGCAGAGATTATGATGCTGGTTGAAAAGAAAACTGAGCCCAGACATGGAAAAGGGATTTGTTAAAGGTCACACATTTGGTCAGGGCAGGAGTGGAACTATGGATGACTGCTGGCCTTGAAAGGGGCTGATGAGTGATGGAGCTTAATGGGGGTTGGGTTTGAAGGACTTTCGTTGCCAGAAGGCATAAGGATCTCTGAAAGGGAAGCTGAGTCAGAGGTTTGTAAAACGGAGACATCAGCAAAGGAGTGGGAGAGAGATGTGGCAAGGCTGACAGCTAAGTAAGCTTATTTAGCCCAGTCCTGGAGGGGGCAGCTGAATTTCCCAGCAGCAGAATGCTGCGCCCGAGATTGAGTAATCAAGCCCTTACAAAATCTGGAATGCAGAACTGGAAAGGCAGTCTTAAGAGACCAGAGAGTACACTGCAGGTCCAGAGTCTGGCTTCCCCACTGGACTGTGAGGTCTTTGAGGACTGTGAGGTCTTTGAGGGCGGGGACCGTGTTCCTAGATTTAGCCCCAGCTTCTAGCAGGGCCTGGAATATGGAATATAGTAGGGACTCAAATATTTCTGTCGAAGGAATACATAAATGAATGTATGCACCCAAAAGGGAAACTGAGGGGGAGACAAGACAAACAGGAGGGGCGAGGCGTAAAATCACCCAGCGATTCTGGGGTAGAAGCAGACTAATTTTCCTGAGACGCAGCAGGACAAACAGTCCTAGTACTAACGCTAGTTGCCGCCAGGTGCTTTTCAACAGGGATTGGCAAGCAAATACCGCCTGGGGACAGAAAGGCGGGGCTAAATGGGGCCGTTGGGGCGGGTCCAGGCTGGAGAGGCCGATTGGCTGAGACTCAAGGCGGGGCCAATAGAGCAGGCGCGCCAAATTTCCACCCAACACGTGACTATCGTGTGTAACGTCACTTCCAGTCCGGTGGGCGGGAGCTGGAAACAAAAGAAGACCAAGGACGCATGCGCTTGGTGTGTCCCAGGTTCTGATGGGTTCTTCCGCTCAGGCAGAATAAAGTGCTTCCGGGTCGCCGTCGCCTGCCGACTCCCGGCGCGGTAAGTACATAAGACAGGCTGCTGTTGCTGTCTCTTTGCCCCTTCTTTCCTCCCTTCCCCAGAGAAACCTCATTCCCTTGACCCGCCTCCTCAGGAGCTGCCTGTTCACACTCCCTTTAACATTAAAAGAGTTCCAGCTCATTGGCCGCTTCCTCGAAACTAAGCCCCACCCCGTCGCACAAGATCCGTCACTCATTGGTGTCACTTCCTGTCACCCAACAGTTCTTCCAGTTAATTGGCCTTATCCAGGCCCCGCTCCTTTCTCGGTTAGCAACCCCAAATACCTGCCCGAATCCCGCCCATGCCTTCTTGCTGTTGGTCAACTCCACGGTCATTATCATAATAAGCCGAGAATGGGCGGTGGCTTTGCGGTGAGGAGTTGGGCTTTCGGAGCCGCGGTCTCTGGCCCTTCAGTGCTTATGGCACTTGAGAGAGGTTTCTGTTGTGCCTCTTAAAAGCGCCGGGCAGCTGAGCTCCACGGAAGGGCAGCTGCTGGCCCCGGATTGGTTAAGTGCGTTAGGGCAAGAGCAGAATTTAGACGTAGATCCTTTTCTCCTGCTCACCTCTAGTGCCCGGCCTGGATCTCTTCCCCGCGAGAGTTCTATGCCCAACTCACCGTGGCACCTAGAGCCAGTCGTTGCCTGTCGCTGGGCCTCAGTTTTCCTGTGAGCTGAAAGGTTTTAATTCAGATTCTCTGGGACCTCCTGTTCAGCTCCCTCAGCTGCTGAATCTGAGCTGAATATACTTGTTCTCTTACTCACATGTTAGTTCATCCAGTCTTTTCATCTGCTCATGCATTTACTCATACCTTTAGAATGTCTTACTCAGCCATACATGCACGTGATAACACCTCCCCTCCCTGCCCCCCAGTTTGGCTGTGGTTCATTATAGAGGTGGTCAGGGTCCAAAATTTTCTGACACTGGGTGGGTATGGTGTGGGTGGCATGGAGGAGCAGAAAGGAGGTCTCAGTGTTTGGAAGAGGTAGAGAGAGTTTCAGTAGAGTCCTGCTGTCTTTAATTTTGTAAGGCCAGTCTGCATTCTGGTTTCCTCTCTCTACATTTGGCTTCCATTCTCTTCCCTCCTTGAACAGCTTACAGACAGCTTTACTTACCCATAAAGTAAGTTACTTAATTATCAGAATAACTATGAGGGTGGCATAATTGTTACTGTCCCTGTTTTACAGATGAGGAAACTGAGGCTCAGAGAGGTTAAGTGACTTGGCCAAGGTCAAACAGCTAGTAAGCGGTGGAGCCAGGACTCAAACCCAGGTCTGTCTGATTCCCACAGGGAAGGGGTACTTTCCTGCTACCTTCCACACTACGCAATCCCCAAATCAAAATGTAACCAAATAAAAACTAAAACCAAACACATCTGAGAGCTGGATTCACCTGACGCTTTTCCTCAGTCTAGGAGCCATGTCCACCTTGTTTCCCTCACTCTTCCCCCGTGTGACTGAGACACTGTGGTTTAATCTGGATCGACCCTGTGTGGAGGAGACAGAGCTGCAGCAGCAAGAACAGCAGCATCAGGCCTGGGTGAGTGAGGACATAGCACAGCGGTGGAGCTTCAGTCAGGTGCCCCACCCCCCTTCACTGGCGTTGACCCAGACCTACTCTGGAGACCTGCCCTGGGGGAGCTTTTTGTCCTGAGCTGGGGGCCTAGGTTCTCACCTTTGTGTTACCCTAATTTGCCAGGGGACCGTGGGAGCTCTAGGCCAGGTTGGAGCCCAGGCTCTTTTCCCTAAAGCATAGAAAATAATAATTTTGACTGTTTATTGAGGACCTAGCAGATGTCATGTTCTAGGCTGATAGTCTCACTTCATCCTCACCATAAGCTTATGAGGAAACCAAGGACCAGAGAGTTCACGTAGTTGGATCAAGCTCATAAGTAAGTGGCAGATGACAGGAGAGAAAGGGATTGAATCTTCCAGAGAGCTGGAAGGACGCTTCTCCTTCACAGCTGGGGGTCTTCCTGGGGGCAGGGCAGGTGAGTGCCATGCCCCTGACTGCCCTGCTTGGGCCCTGGCCTTGCTCTTCTCCCCCTGTGGCCACAGCTCCAGAGCATTGCAGAGAAAGACAACAACCTGGTACCTATTGGCAAGCCGGCCTCAGAGGTGAGTGGCTCCAGCAGGTGGGGCCTCTGTGGGGCCCAGGTGGACCAAGGCTCTGCTCTAATTCGGAAGGTCTGGCCTCTGACTCCAGAGCAGTCGTGGTCCTCAGCTCTGGGTGGAGGACAGAAAAGAGGAGGTACGGGGGAGGGCACTGGGCTCAGCACTAAGGTCCTGCAGAACGTGCACCAGCCTGCTAGATTAAAGTGGGACAGGACTGGGGAATGGAGCTCATTCGTTGTCCCCAGAGAGAGGCTCCAAGTGGGCCAGTCCTTGAACTGGCCCAGGCAGACCTGTAGAGGCTATAGGCTCTTCCCTGCCTCACCAGCACTATGATGACGAGGAAGAGGAAGATGAAGACGACGACGAGGACAGTGAAGAGGACTCGGAGGATGATGAGGACATGCAGGACATGGATGAGATGAATGACTACAATGAGTCACCTGACGATGGAGAAGTCAATGAGGTAGGCAGGGGTGTGGGGCAGGGCCTCTGCTCCTGGGCCCTTACCCCTGACCTCACTGGCAGCCAGCGGGTACAGAAACCCTGGTTCTAGCCAGGGGCAGGATCTGGGACTGGGGCTGGCTGGGTGGCTGAGGCCCCTCCCCACCCACACCCAGCCTCCTCTCCAGGTGGACATGGAAGGCAACGAGCAGGATCAGGACCAGTGGATGATCTAGGTAGACAAGGCAGGGTGGTCTCAGGATGACTCCAGGCCCGCCCAACCTATCCTGGAGCCCCTGCGGACTCAGCTGATCACCCAACCCCCCCCTGCCCCGGTGCCTGAAAGCTCACCCTCGGGCACCTCCTTAGCTGCTGCCAGCAGCTGGTATCCTTGGCCCCTCCCAGGCCACCAGTCTGCCCTTGAATCCGCAGGGCCTGAGCCCACCCCACCTTTCTGGCCAGCACCTCATCCCTTGGTTGCCAGATCTAGTCTCTTTCTAACTCTCTTTAATAAAGACACAGGACTGATTTTTTTCCCCACATCTATTCCCTATTTCTTGGTGGGGCCTAGAGGAATCCAGCATCTTCTCTTGAGCTTTGGGGAGAGGGTTCTCAAGGGACTTCAGGCAAATCTACCTGGCCACACGGGCTGGGGCTAGGGAAGGCCAGGGTAGCCCTGGCTGTGGGCCCAGGCTCCACTGCCATTTCCTCTGGCCCAGCTTGCACCCAGCCATCCCTGCAGGGCCTCTAACTCAGTGTTTACTGTTTCCTTTGATCCCACCTGGAATGGCATGGGGTGGGGTGGGGGGTGGGAGGCAGGCTTTCTGAGCGTCAGAACTGGGAGGCCCCTGGAGCTCTCCTAGTCAACTTCCTTGGTGTTAGAACAGATTAGATCTCAGAGCAGAGCAGGGACCCCCATGGAGTAACCCAGCAAATCAGTGACAGGTCTGTGTTGTGAGCTGAAGTCTCTTGCCTGTCAGTCCATGACTCTGGACTGGAAGGAGGGGGACCAGTGGGATCAAACAGCCTGACAGAACTTGAGGCCTCAGGTTAGTGTGGAGCCAGAGTGAGACAGAGGTGGGAGGAGAGCCTCCCTAGCCCTGAGCCCAGTATGTGTCAGTCCACAAGCAGGGAGGGAAGGGGATATTCTGAGGTCCTTGCTTGGTTGGGGGGTGGGGGGAGGCAGCAGTAAGTACCCCTGGGCCTGGACCTCAGCCAGGCCCTGTGTAGGTGAGCTGGGCTATGCCGTCCTTGATGGCAGGGAAGTCAGGGAGGCCAGTGTGGTGGAGGCGGCAGCGGTAGCGGCCACAGCTCTTGGCGTACTGCAGGAAGCGGGGTGCACCAGGGAAGAGCACGTGGTCAGCTAACACTGTGGCACCAGCTGGCAGCAGGGCATGGGCCTCCAGCAGTTGCAGGTCCCGCAAGTAACATCGGGGCCTGTGTGCCAGGAGCACCAGGTCAATCCGATTCATCTGGTACTGGGTTCTTAGGCGTGGGATCACCTCCTCTGATCTACCCACGATGAGCTCCACCTGTGGGGGTGGGAGGAGTTGGAGATAAGGGTGGGAGCGATTGTTCTCCCACACCAGACCCTACCGGGATCTGGCTTATTTTGTGCCAGGCCCTGGCCTAGGTCTCCATGTGTGTTCTCCTATTTCCCCTGGCCTCAGAACCCAAGGGGTCAGGATCAGCATTGTGATTTTCATTCTGCTAGTAAAGAAGCTGAGATTCAGAGGACAGGTGCTTTGTCCAAGATCACATAGCTAACAAGAGGCAGACTAACGTTTGGACCCAGATTTGCTGGGCTCCAGAGACTTTCCTCTTAACTGCTTCTTTGTCATCCAGCAGCAAATACATGCCAGTGACTTGGAACAGGAGAACAAGAGCTCATACACTCTCCAGGTTCACAGTTCCCTAAGTGGAGCTGTTTCCTTCTCCTAGGTGGGATTCCCCCATGGGGGAAGCTGGCTAGGGCAGGGCTGGGGGTGGCAGGAAAGAGACCAGGGTTGGGGAGGTGGGGGCTGACCGTGCGCTCGTCGAAGCCAGCCAGGCGGATGAGTTTTTCAGCCACTGCTGCTGTGCGTGGATCCCGCTCCACAGTGAGAAGGCGACCCCCAGGGGGCAGGGCACGGGCAATAAGCAGTGTGGAGTACCCGCAGTAGGTGCCCAGCTCCAGTGCACAAGCAGGGGCCTTCTCCTCCACCAGCCGCATCACGATCTGACCTATGGGGGGAGATGGTTATTGCAGCAGACATGGGAGATGGATGCAGGGGCCCTCATGGAAAGGGGTCTCAAATGCCCACTTGCCACTGCAACCCCCAACCAGTGGGAGTCTCATTTCTTTCTTGGATTACAGTCCTAGCAGCCCCAGTGGTCTCCCTGTCCCTCTCAGCTTGCCTCCTTCACACCAACCACTAGTGACCCTAATGCTCCCTGGTTCCTATGAACCTAAAGGCCTTTGGGATTGAACGTGGGATTCTCAGCCTGACATTCAGAACTTTCTTGGACCTGATCCTATCCTACCTTTCCAGTTTCAGCTCTCAATTCTTCCCACCACAGCCATCCCAAACATCCCAAACTGTGCCCAGAGACAACCATGCTGGTTCATTTCTTCATGCCACATTTAGATATGTGGCTGGCTTTGTCCTCCCCCACCTCTGTCCTCAACTACCTGGCCAACTCGAAAGCAATCCCTCTAGGCCCAGTTCAAATGTTGCTTCCTCCAGGAGGGCCCAGGCAGAAACAACCACCAGAGAGAGACTAGGCTTCCGAGAGACCACTGTCCAGGCTCCTGAGAGATCTTTGCTAGACCTTCTAGTTTCATTCTCCCTTGATTTGTTGATTGAATATCTTTCTAACCATTGAATTGGATGAATTTCTTAAATGAGACTCTAAAAACACATGTGCTGACAGCTGGGACTCAGACAAATCCAGCCAGACAGCTACCCTGAATGGGCTGGAGAAACCTCCATGGTGGGGGAGAAAGACTCAGACACAGATAATTACAAGGTTTTGGGTTGTGTGCTGAGGTGGTTATTCCCCTGTATCATGGCCCCTTTGAGGCCAGCCTTTCTGGCTGATTCATCCCTGGCCTCTACCTCCTCCCCCAGCACCTAGCACATGCCTGGTACAAAAGTGGTGGTGATAAATTTTACTGGATGAATGTATAACTTTGCCCAGCCCCCTCATTTCCAGAAAAGAAAAAAGAGACCCACAGAAAATCAAGAACCTGCCTAATTCACCCAGTAAGGCAGCGGCAGATCCCAGATCTTCCTTCACCATCTTGGAGGTGCTTCCGGGAGCAGAAGGCTAGGGAACACTGACCTTTGACAGGCCCCATGTGGCTCAGGTACTCGCAGTGGCTGCTCCAGTGGTCCAGGGTGGTGAGGATATGACCAGGGTCCCCAGGCAGGGCGTGGGTGAGCACATAGCTGAAGGCCCGCTCCTCAATCCGCATCCCTGACAGGCAGTCTCGGAGGCTCCGGAGTAAGACCGTGCGTACCAGTAGTCGGAAGTAGTGCCGATACCTCACCAGCAATGTCACCACCAGTGGCAGGAAGGCCAGCGCGATGGCGGGGGACATGGTCCCTACCTGGGCCCTGGGGTGGAAGACGGGAGAGAAATCCACACATGTCGTTTGCCTGTCATTTGTGCAGCCCTTACCAGTAGCAATTATCCCTATATTTTACACACCGTGGCTCAGAAAGGTTAAGTCCTTTGTCCAGAGTCACACGGAAGAACTAGGATTTGAATCCAAGCTGGTCTGATTCCAAGACTTTCAAGGACAACATACTGTCTTATGTTCAGCACCCAACCGCAAACTATCTCTTCCTACTCCTGGTTCATCTTCACCTTGCTCCCTCCACCCGTGTTCCCTTATGTCTGTAGTCACTCTTCTTCGGGACCCCTTTCACCAGTTCCTTCCTGAGTTCTCCTCCCACCTTACCCACTGCCTGCTTGGTCTCTGACCCATTACTGTGTAGCAAAAGAGCACAACTTTGTAGTCAGGAACCCCTTCACTGTCACTGTTCTGCCTCAGTAAAAGGCAATCAAAACACTCCATGGCATGTTAGGATGAGATATCCTAAACCACCCCAGGACCCTCCCTCTGTCAGCATTTCCCTGGGGGTGGGAAGAGTCCTTGATTGTATATTTATTCTCCAGTCCTATCTCCCCTCCCCTGCACTCCCCTCCTCTCTTTTCTCTCAGCATTCCATTCACATTTACATTCACATATACACACAGCACACACTTTCCCCCAACTCAGCCTCTTCTCCCCACTCCCCCCACTCCCTGTCTGGGATAAGTGCCCTGTCTTCTCCCATGCACTGGACCATCTGACCCTTTTGAGGCCACTGGTGGTGGTGACTAAAAATTAAAGTAGGAGTGTATGAATGGGGTGAATAGGTAGGTGAGTGACGGTGAATCTGAATTGTTGCGCTTGGGAACCCACACTCAAGGGCCCTGCTTACCTGGGCTGGAGGCTCCTGCTTGGGGAAGATCAGAGCATAGGACAGGAGGGGGAGTCCTTGGGGTGGGGAAGAACCCTGAGGCAGGCTGGACTTGCTGTCAATTATTGATGCTGAGGCTGCTGCTGTCACCTGAGACCTGCAGTTCAAGTTACCAACCCCAGAGACAAGCTGGAGCTGCCTCCTACCCTTCAGGAGCCCTCAAAGAACTTACAGAACTCCGGGGTCTTGATTTGAGGGGTAATAAAGCTACTGGGTCTGGTGACCTCTTCTCCAATCCCTTGGTTCAGGACACAGGGTATGGTGTGAGCCAAGGTGATGGGCAGGTTGTGAGTTACTCAGTAATTCCAAATTCTAAGCAAGTGCCAAGGCTTGAGTCACAGAGAAGAGTCGGATCCTGTCCCTGTCCCCCTGGAACTCCACCTTTGTTAGAAGAGACTGACACAGGAACAGAGAATATAATGTGAGCACTAGAAGGCATGCTCCATGAACACAGGCACTTTGGGCAGGCAGACCAGGTGGGGAGACAGTGTGCCAGGCCATGTGTGTAAAGTCCAGAAAGTCAATCAGGAAACTCCAAGTATTTCCCTGTGGTTGGTGAGGCATTCTCCCAACCCCTCCTCCACTGCCCTGGGCTTGGAGTGGGTGTCAGGCTCTGTAAGATCTTGCATGACAGACTTGGACTTGTGTTGAGTCCAAGGGAAGATATGGGATGGTTCTAAGAAGAGCACTGATTGTGAGCTTTGTGTGTTAGATTACTATGACTGCTGTAAAAAGGCAAGATTGAAGAGAAATGCCTGAGGGCAAGGAGATCACTGAGGTGGCCTCTATCTCCTCCACCAGGATTGAGCTCCACTCTGCTCCGGTTTGTGAAGGTATAAGGTCCCTTCTTCCAGTAAGTCTCAGATCCCCAGTCCAGGATGGGTGACACACCCTCTTTATGTCGCCAGCCTTGGCACCAGGCAACTGGGCCTATTGGTGTGCACTCTTGGAGCATAGAGCCTGGATCCTACTCGCCCCTCTAAAGGCATTTAGGAGAGTATTTCATGACGGCAGTTGGTATAAATTCGCTCACTGGCCCACAAAGGTAGCCTGGCGGCCACGGGAACACATAATACACTTAACATGTGGGCTTCTATAACCATCAGTGGAGGTCTCCGGCTGAGACCCGGAAGAGGCTGAAGTCATATGATCCGCCCCTCCCTTTCCTTGCATCACGTGTCTCACGGCCTGTCACGCAGTGTGTGCCTTCCCATTGGTTGGCTAAGATCACGCGGTAGGGGCGGGGCCGAAAGCCGGGGTTCCGGCGGCAGCCGCGGCGGCTAAGCTCCTCTGGGAAGGGGTAGGCGCGGGGGCGGTGGTTACTTGCTGGATGTAGGCGCGGGTCATGTGACCGGAAGGGCTCCTGACGGACGCCGTCCCTCCTCGGCGCGGCCTGAGCGCCCGGCCCGACCGCCGCCATGGGGAGCTGCTACAGCAGCGAGAACGAGGACTCGGGGCA